TTTTTTGTTTTTAAATGCAAGCTATTGTGACACCAGATATGAGTGGTGGCACTGACTGGGCAAATGGGCACAGTATCCACTGTGAGCCTGACATAGAAGCTGGCAGCAGTGGCAGACAACTAACTGCAATTACATTACACAGAAAAAAAAAAAAAAAAGCTTTTTGGGGTGCTGTCCTTACAGCAGAGATCAGATGAGTCCTTCAGGACTGTAGTGGACACTGTATACCCTAACCTAGCTATGCATTTCCCTATCTAATCAACAGCAGCTACACTTTCCCTCCTCTCACTAAGCATGCAGCTTGAGAATGAATCTAAAATGGATGCTGTCCAGTAGGTGGGAGGGTCTGCTAGGGAGGGTGTGCTGCTAATTGGCTGGAATGTGTCTGCTGACTGTGAGGTACAGGGTCAAAGTTTACTCAATGATGACGAATAGGGGGCGGATCGAACCGCGCATGTGTTCGCCGTCCGCGGCGGACGCGAACACACTATGTTCGCCAGGAACTGTTCGCCGGCGAACCGTTCGGTGCACCACTATTTATCAATTAAGTTATTAGAACTTGACAACACACCTACTATGTATATTGTAAGTTCAATGAAGGGTCATTCGCCTCAAATTTGGAATGCAAATGACTTTAGATGCCAAATGGTTTTTAGGGCATTGTTTAATATATGTATCCTGTTCAATTAATTGTCTGTATTCACCAAGATGAGATTAGAAACACCTGTACATAAATGTATTCAATTGTAAATTCTCGGACAGGTTTTGTTGTTTGGTGTATGTACGTTTTGTTTGTAACACATTTTGTATTTGTATGCACAGTAAATTATTTGTGTTCATAGTAAATGTTCCTTTATTAGGTTTTCTCCTTGTCTGGTCTAAGAATCATGCTACCAAAGAGATTTATTGCACTGTGATTTCCTGCTCATTTCTGCTAATTTGACTTGGTGGGGTGACCTAAGGTACAGTATTTATAAACTGTCTTCATGGTTGCAGTTTTTGTAGGTGTTAAGAGGGATTTCTGAAACTATTTTTAGAGACAAAAAGTGAATTTTAAACTTTTCACTCACTAAAGCAAGTGACCTGCCTGTCTGAGAGAGGTGGCAACTGTGACAACAGTAATGTGTGAAAAAACAGTCAGCTATATTTCCAGCTCAGAAATTTTGATGAGTTGGAAAATGCAGCAAAGTATGTACTCCTTTATTGTGGGCTAATATCTCTATGGCAATTCATAATGTGCCCCAGCGCAGAAAAAGTAAAAAAAAAACACCTTAAAGGGAGTCTTTACTGCCAGGAAAACAAACCCGGCTTCTGCAGTGCTCCTCTCCCTCAAACCACCCTCCTGCAGTGCTGAAGGGATTAAAACCTCCTCAGTCACTTATCTGAATCCAGTGACATGTCCCTCGGCGCCGTTTCAGACTCCGCCCTTGCTCCTACCCGCCGACGTCAGCCGGGGGGAGAGACCTAATGCTCATGCCACTAGATGAGTTAACCCTCAGAGGTAATTATTGCAGTTTCTCAGAAACTGCAATATTTACCACTGAAGGGTTAATGGACATAGGACATTGCACCCAGACCACTTTAGTGAGCTTACCTGAAAAACAGGCACTGGATCAGGCTCCACCTCTGCTTCTCCTCCCCAACATTGGCAGACATCGGCAACCTAACGTGCATGCGCTGTGAGCACCGTGATCACAGTAGGACAACCCTATAGTAAAGCATTGAATCAAAAGTTGCCCAAAGACCCGGAAGCACTTCTAGTGGTTTTATGGTAGACAGCCTCTAGAGGTTGAGTTAACCCTGCAGTGCAATTATTGCAGTTTCTTAATAACTGCTATAATTACCATTGCAGGGTTAAATTGAAAGGGGAACTGCACCCAGTCCCAGACCACTTCAGCTCATTGCCTATGGCGTTTCTTTAAACAATCTAAAAGAATGCATTAGATACAAACTTGAACTAATATTACATATCGGCATCAATTTAATAATTTAAGATACACTTTTAAAATGATCTCAATCTGTTCAAAAAACTTTTCAAATGATTGATCCCCATATATTTTAATGCTGGCCTCTGCTGATAAATCATTTGAATTTTTGTTTTACAGATTATGATAATTTGAAAAGTTTATCAAAAAATATTAAATGAAGATCACTGCCTGCAGATGATATTTACAGTCAGATCCTGTCTTCTTGTAATCTTGTACAGCATGGTGGGTGCCATCATATTTATTATCCCCCATAATGCACGGTTTGAATGCCATGATAGACTAAATAGTCCTTAATCTTAGTGCAGAGTCATGAAATACATGTTTGTTTGCCCAAGATTTGTGGGGATTATGCTCCAGTACAACAGCAGCTTTGTGCACCTGTCATCATTTTAATTCAACCCTCTCCAAAACTGATTTAAAGACACCAGATGCAAATAGTAACTGCCATCTGAGATTGTAACTCCCACTAATAGTAACTACTACCAAATCTCAGATAAATTCACCACCTCTATCCCTATGAAATGATGTAATATAAATGATGCACAGCAATTAAGTACATGTTAGGGAAATGTAATGCCATCTCAAGGTTCTAGAGGCATTTATAAACCATATTTACTTCAATCTTATGGCTTATCATAATATGTATACGTTATACAGAAATATAACAGAGGTTTGAATTAATGGAATCTTACATGTAGTAACAATTTCGTATTCAAATAATCATCACAAGTCAACAAAAGTTTGTGGTTTATTCTTAGTCAGATTTTTTTTTTTTTCTATATTCTCATTAATTTCACCTCCCGAAGTGCCAAAATCTAATATAAAATGATATTCTCCATAATGAAGTTTACAGTGACATTAGTATTAGTGTAATTTTATAGTCGATATGGACTTGAAAATCATTTATGCCTGCTGTGTTTTTATGATAGACATTGCGTTATCACCATCTGTGTAATGAAATTGTCTCTGTGTTATAACATGGTAACAATACATTATTTTTTTTTCTTTTAGTTAAACTTTTTGGATTCCGTTGTTCCTGTTTCCAATCTAAAATACTTTGCACGTGTTTACAGTGTTTAATTTAATAAATTCTATAACACAATATCTAGAATTTAAATTACATAACACAATATCTAGAATTGAAATTTATTGCAAAATGGAAATTTACGAGAAGATAATTTGGTTTGCAGCTAGATTGCCAAATTATATAAATCTATACCAGCTAATATGGATACAAATCCAATTTGATTATCTACTTTAGACAATTTGTATGCAAATTCAAAAATACAGATTGATTTACAAGTCGATGAGAAAAAGGGCGTATCTGATAAAATGAATTGCGCTTGGAATTCAGAAAAAAAACTGTGATATTCAATTTTAAAGCTCATGCACTGATTTACTATTTTCAGTGTGCTTTTATTTTATTTATTTTTTTAAGCAAATATATCAGAAGAAAGCTTACCAAAAGTACCAAATTACAGCAGCATTGTTCAAAACAGTGTCCCTGCTTTTAGTTTAATATTTTACGTTTAATGAAAGAGCATGTCTGGAGTATGTGTGAGCCTTCATGTAACAAGAATGAACAAACTGACTTTTTCACTCAAAACAGGTGTAAGATGAACAAAAAGCCTGGGGTGTGTCTTCACCCCATAAGCATTGGACTATAAGCTAATAATATGTTAGAATGCTAATACTATGCTGGGAAGCATGGAGGGTCATATAATAATGGAGCTTTGGAGGATTACCTCCCTAATAACAGGACTAATACTTTTGAAAAGTAACAGGCGGCATGAAATGCATCCAACATCATTAGTTTTTTCACCCCCTCTTTTGTCTTTTTAATAGAATACATATATTTTATGTGTATACGTTTTTGTGTTTGCTAATTTTGCACTTTATAGCAGCCTGGCTCATTCGATCCTCCAGGAGGTATGTATCAATATATTGCCAACCCAGCTAAAAGAATTGCAATAAAATACCATTAATTAACCTAACAAAAAAAAAAAAAAAGATTAAGACCTGTCAGAAAAGATAACCAGTCTGGGCACTAGTAGTGATGCCTTAAATGAACACCTGCTGAAGTGGCTCTGGTTTTTATATGCATCTGAAGATTTAACAAACATTAATGTGATCATTTATTTTTCAAAACCAACCAATTAAAGTGCATTTCTGTGAAATCTCACTCCCCTAAAGCTCCCAGTATGGTTTAACAGCAGAGATACACTAACCAGTAAATATTATTTTGGCTTAAATATACTATGACTCCATGAAAGAAACAATCAAGCTCTATTAAAACAACCACAACCACATGCTTCTTGCAAATGCAATCAACAGTTAAACTGAGTGAAAGAGATATAAGTATTAAAAAAATGGTAGAGCAGGCTTTCAGGATCTTAAAAATGGACAAAAAAAGTTGGAAACATTACACTACATCTACAAAAAAAAAAAGCCAAATAAATGACACTCTTATCTCCCCCAACCATTGTGTGCAATTTTGTGGGCACTTCATTTCTGACTGCCCATGTTTTAACCTGTGTAATAGAGTGTTTTTTTAAACATATGGTTCCAGCCTTAATATCAAGAAGCCCTCCCTTTCTTTGCCACAGTATTTTATCATATACAGGGTTATTCACTAAAATTAGAAATCAAGTTGAATTCAACATGAATTTTAAATTTAATGTGAAAATAATTGAACTGGAAGAATTCTCTAAATCAGATATGCTTTCTATTCAGCTACTCTGGCCTTTCTAATTAAAATACATTTTACATTCTCCTTGAATTCTCACTTTACTAAATAACCCTGCTAGTGTATCTTAGAACAGAGTACAACAGTCAGAAAATTTATTTATTATTACAATGCTTTTATTATCACTTCCACTGCATAGTTCTTTCACAAGTAACTTCTTTAAATTGTGTTTATTTACAAAGATCATTATAATATTTTTTTAATGAATTGTCAACTGTCTATTTTTTACATGACCCAGTGCTATAACTATTATAAATGCTTGTAACTTATTTGTAAAAACATTCAGACATGCATTTTGCTGAATACACTGATCATTTGCAGGAGGAAATAACAAAAACTGATGACAAAGGATTTACTCTCCATCAATTATATTTCTTTGCTGACAACTCTAGCATGTAAGCTCTTTGAGCAGGGCCCTCAACCCCTCTGTTCCTGTGCGTCCATTAGTCTGTTTACAATTAGGTGTCTGTTAATTCAACCATTGTACAGCGCTATGGAATTTGCTGGTGCCATATAAATAATAAAATAATAATAATTGTACATTTTAAACTTTTTAAATGGTGAAAAAAACCACCTGTTAAGGAGTGCCGATATCTCTTAAATCCAAAATGTACAGGGTTATTTACTAAAGTGATTATTGTCCGGAATTCAAAGTGAATTCAAATATGTTGTCCTACTCTCAGCTCTGATGTCTTTTGACTCTTCTCTGTAATCTACTCCTCCCTTTTAATTTGATGGATTAATTAAAAAACTCAAAAAGCTGGAAACACTAATGTTCACTAACAGTTGCACTGCCTTCAAT